TTTTATGTCAGAGAACAAAATGTGAAAGTTTCTTGAGATAGTTTTCACCACAGAACTTATTTCAGGCATCTAACCAAAAAACCATTAAAAACCCACTGACTTTGAGACAAGGCAACCAGGAGCGGTAAGATGCTAATTCATTTCAGATCTTTAGGACTCATTCCTGATGGACTCTATTAAGTGCTATTTAGACGTGGAATACATGAAAGTGATATCTTTGTGTCATTTAGCAGTCAGTTAGCTTAGCTTAGCATACATACTAGAAACAAGGGGGACGTTAGCCTGGCTCTGTGGAAAGCTTACACAATTTGCCTCCCAGCATCTCCAAAGCTCACTGATTAACATGTTGTACTTTGTTTAATCCAAACAAAAAAGATTAAAAATGTAAATTTGCTGTTTCAGAGGGGGATTATGTGCACGAATATTTCTTGACTGGGTCCAATTGTTCCTTTCGCTAACCTCACACGCACCAATCACCAGGAAAAATGTTTAAGTTTCTGCAAAACACGGATATGTTACAGTTGGATGTTATTATATCGTGGATAAGTTGCAGCTATGTGGATAACTGGTGAGGTTTAGGCACAAATACCACTTGGTCATGGTAGGAAAAGATCATATTTGGGCTAAAAATGTTTTTGTGTGGCTCGATCATGGCTGCAGAAGCTGTCAATGTCTCAGTAAAAAACAACCGCTTCCCCCAAGGAAAAATAGCGATGACTTGCAATGACCTTTATTTTTGTTTGTCTTGAATAGTTGCTCGCCACGGTCTGCAGCTTGGCAGGTGTCTCAGGTATCTGGCATAGATGTCATACCATCCACCATCCACTCCACCCCTCAGTGACAAAGTCAGCTCCTATACTATGTCACTTTCGAAACATTGATTTGATGCGTGTGAAATGTGCAGGTGAAACAAAACTGTGGTTTGCAAGAACAAACAATGCCAACATTGTCATCTGGCTCTTGAACGTGTCATACTTATGTTTTGATGAAGACTCTAACGTGTGCACGTGTGTTTGGGTGTGTGTGCACTGCAGGTGGTAAGGGCAACTCCCCGTCTCAGTTGGGCTCCAATCCAGCCTCTTGAACCTCCACCCAAACAATCTGATTTCACACTTGACATCCTTTGTATTACTGAGAACTAAAAAAAAGACCTATAACATACATTTAATGCAAACCAGCACCAACAGGACAGACGGTATTCATTTCTGCTATCTTTAAATATCAAAATGTTCACAGAAATACTGGATGTGAGGTACAATAGCAAATGTGCAATTACAGCCTTATTATAAACGGAGGTAATTAACAGTCCACACCTCAGGCTGAAGAAAGCCTCACTGTGTTTTGGCCTGTCGAACCTCTACACTACCTGTGATTTACACTCAGTGGGGATGCTGGTTTATGAGGCCTATTCACAAGCCCTGAGGTGTCACTCCTGGTCACTCCCAGGTTTTCTCCTCTGCCTGATTTCTGGCTGCTTCACACCTCCAGGAGGGACTATTATCCTGTCAGAGGGCCACTCTTCACAGCAGTGTAACGCTCCAGCCCGTGAAAATCACACCCTTCTGCTTGTTTTGTTGGCCTGTGGAGCATGGAGTTCACACACGGGCCTGACCGAGAACTGCAGATGGTCATCGGGAAGTAGAAAGGATGGAAAGAAACAAGGCCTGGAGGGGAAACACAGGCCGAGTGGTGGTGAAAACAAGGGCTCTGAAGTTTAAGCTGTGAGCAAAGGAGACCCATTAAACTTTCAGTCATATTGTTATAGATTAGTTTTTGCCCCTGGCAGCTAATGAACACATCCTCTGTGCTTACACTGTCCTCACTTGAAGATGTATTTATATCGCGGTGTTGCTTTACTTCAGAGGTAGGACAAAATCATTAGCTACGTTTCCATCCAAAAATGATTCGAATCATTGGGAAATGTGCATTAAGAGAAATACGAATCCTGTGTGTTTCCATTAAATGTACGGACTTGGTGTAAACTACGAACTCTCGCGCAAGTTTTCCGCAGAACCGGAAACAAAACACGTCTCGCATTCTTCTTCTTCTACGTTTTCTGGCGGTTGGCAACCAGCTTGTAAATGCATTACCGCCTTCCCGACCCGGAGTGTGGATATCACCATGGAGAGAGGTGCACTATGTCAGACTTAATTCGAACTGTTTCCATCCCCTGAAGCTACCATAGCATCAGCTAACTGCACTAAATGACACAGCACTGCAGCTAGAAACAAAACATGATGCTTTACTGTGTCATCGAAGCACTGGAAAATGTTGAGGCCAGCTCAGCTTTTATTTGTAGCGTGTCGGGTGTCACTTTGTAGCTTCATGTCACTAGCTTCCTCTGAAAATGACTTGTAGCCTGTTGCTGTGTCGCTCGCTTGAAGTGTGAGCACAGCATTAAGCTAACATGAGCTAAGCGTTAGCTTGCTAACTGTGTTAGCACTAGCTTTGACATGAATTTTCAAACTGTACATTTTGCTTACTGCCATGTTTTTTGTTGACCTCCAACACGGTCTCACTCCGAAATTGTGACCTCCAGCATCAGACATGGATGTAAAAAGGCGGGAGTCCTTTCACCACGGCATAAGTGGCTGGTCCAGGGGCGTCGGGGGAAACTCCCCCGGGGGTGAAAGTCCAAGCAGGGTGGGTGGGAGGACTCCCAACAACCACCAACTTTCACCAGGGAGGCTGGTGTTTGCTTCCCGTATGACTGTAAAGCCAAACGTAACATGTAACATGTAACATGTGTTGGTTGTTTAAGGAAAAAACATCAATTCGGCTGTGAAAACATATGTTGAAACAGACAATGCATGTAACAGGCTGAAGTTGACATGGCGTCCCAGAACGTCAACAACCAACACACCCAGGGTACCGTGGACGTGGAAAGTCCATGACCAAACGTGGACATGTGACGAGGTCACAGTGAGGATGTGTCGAGACCATCTGTAGTTTTTGTACGTGGACAAAATTATCTTTGGCATAATTTTGTCCCACTGGCGCTCAGTAACATAACGTTAGTTCTTCCTGGTTCTCTCCTGCAACTTGACTGGATGCTGTCAGATTGGGTCGATTTGCAGAATTAAGTGCTGGCAATGAATAGTGTTCACATTAGTTATAAGGAACATCAACAGAATTTGGGCACACTTACTTTTTTTTTCAAGTCAAAAGGCTCAAGTCCAAGTGGAGTAACGAGTCACTGATGTTTAAGTCCAAGTCAAGTTGCAAGTCCTCTTTGATTTTGGCAAGTTGAGTCATTAAATCTGTGACTCAAGTCTGACTTGAATCCAAGTCATGTGACCTGAGTCCACACCTTTGCTTTACAGGAGTGGATTGCTGCCAACCAAATTTCACAGAGTTTTAATATACAATGACAATAATCTACCTACCTACAGTTAGCAGTAGACACTTAGGATCATCCTTACTCAAAAACCATTGGTTCCTTGCTTTGGTGTTACCTAAAACTAGCTGGTTTTGACATTGAGGGAGAGTTTAAAAAGTTTTCAGAGCTTGAGCATTAATCTGACATGACGCATTTTGTTGCATCACACTTGTGATGGTGACAAGGTAACACCTGGGTTAATAATTGTTCCAGTTACAATTTAACAAGGAGGTTACAAGACAAAAAGTCATGTCAGGTTAGAGCACTTGTATACATCAGGATTTAAGACTTCATCAAACTGGTAGTAGGGTCTTTCCACTGCAACACAGTATTACTCATTACTTGATGCTACACACTCTGTCATTACTGTCATTTAGTCCATGAAATAATAACTTCTCTGGAAACAGGTCTGGGATCACAAGTCTGATGTAAACATGATCAACTGCCTCTAAGAGATGAAGTGTGAGTAGTTATGAGGAAGTGAAAATATGTTCAAGGAAGAAGGTGTGGATGTTTATTTATAAAGACGCACTGTGAATACATGACATCTCACACTGCAGCTGTTTTCTATAGCTTTCTGCACACACACAGGGTCAATAGAAAACTTAAGCAACTGTGGACAAAGACCAGAACTTCTTGTCAGTGTATCTGAGGCGCTTTTGAGCTGAATCATGAAAAGTTGTGTATAAATACAAGTTGATGTATGAGCTTATGTAAGTGTGTTGCTGCCCCCTACTGGGGAAGGAAAGTAAAGCTCCTTTAAAAAATAACCCCAAAAAGACACCAACTACCAGAGATGGCATGGTTTCTTTAGTTTTAATGTTTTATCACATTTATTTTTATCAAAAATACAATGTGAAGATGCTTGTAAAATACAGACATTGGCATAATTAGTCAACTGAAATCTAAATTCATAAATAAGTTAAAAAAAAGCTAATTTGTCAAAGGTATTTTTTAGTTTTTAATACGATGACAGTTAAAGTCTTTAGGTTTAAATAAGTGTTCTAACACCAGTGCTATTTTTCACAAGTTATCAGCCCAGTTTCCAGAAGAAAATGTTGGTATTGTGTGTTTCTGCAAACCATGATTACAGTTGCATGTTTCATATGTATTATATCAACATTTTAAAGTTGCAAAGTATATGAGCTGACTTTGTCATTTGGAGGTGGAGTGGACGGTGGATGGTGTCCACACTGATCACTGCAGACAGCGGTAGAGGACCAACAAGCAGCAAATCCAGCTGTGTTTTAGTGAGTCATTGCTGTTTGTGTGGGTGTTTTTTAACGACCCATTTGGGTTCTTCCAGCAGGGATAGTGCCACGAAAAGCGCTTGTTTTTCAGTGACATATCGCTGCTGTTCCTGTCAGGACTGTGCGCCAAACATGGGTATTTAGCCTTTTTCTAACCATAACCAGGTGGTTTTTGTGTCAAAGCATAACCACATGTTAACCACAGTGTTGTTGAAGCGTAAGGTTTCACAGTATCTGCTATATAACAGCATACAAATGTAACTTATACACTGTCAGAAGTGTACAATACCAACATCTTTCCTGCAGACTGGGCTGAGTTATTCAAGTAACTACACAACACAACAAAACATGAAGACACTGTCAAACTAAAATTGGAGTTTCATATATGGCACAACTTGCTTTTGTATTCAACACATTACATTCACATTCATACAGGTGAGAAAAATCAAGAAAAATACAGTGTACATCAAATCAAGATGTATAAAAATGGAATAAAAACTTCTTTCTGCTTTGATCCATTAAAAAGAAACTTAAAGAAACATTAAAAACATACTGCATGACCTGAAAAATTACTGTGTGTGTCATCAGCTCTTTGAGAGAATCTCCTGACAGCTTTTATAAACTGTCACCAAGCAGCTGAGCCTCGGCTTTGAGCTCTGAAAAAAGAGAAAAGGGGCTTCATTAGAAACGTGTTACTGTGTGTATAACAAGCCTTTATAAACGGAGCTTAAGAAGAACAATCCAGCTGCCAGAAAAAATGTTGGCATTGTACATTTCTGCAAACCACTGATATGTTACATCTGCACGTTATTATGTTGTTTATACGCTGAAACTTTTACAACGCTGTAGTTAACATGTGGTTAGGTTTAGGAACAAAAGCCACTTGGTTATAGTTGGGAAAAGATCAAATACCCTGTTTGAGGTCAAAATCCCTGCTAGAAAAGCAGCGATGTCACTGCTGTTGAAACAAACATTTAAAACGTGAGTTGTCTGACTGAACAGGTTTTGTTTGTTGGTCTGGAACAGCAGTTTGCAGAAATGTAAAACGCCAACATTTTCTCCGGGCTGACAGGAAACAAAACACCAAACGTAACTTACTAAAGCAAGCTGCTTTATGGGACATGTGTACACTTTGCACTAAACCTCACCTGAAACAATGGCACAACACTTGACACTGCGTTCGGATCTGAAGAGTCCTTCAGCAGCACACAAAGGTAGTAGATGATCTGATGCTGAAACAAAAGCATCACCACACATCAGTGCACTCTTCTTACAAAAGCATGAACTGATGTAACTGTAGAATAAGTACTAGAGAATAATGATGTGATAATGTAAAATGCACACACGTGACACAGACATAAAATCCTTATTCACCATGTAAATGGCCTCATTGATGACAATATCCTTGATCTTGCTCATCTCGATGAAGGTGGTGGTCTCGCGGCCTGACGCGTAGCTGGAGGACAGCTGTATGCCCAAAGAGCCGATGAAGAGCAGGGACTCGTGGTCTACCTTCACAAAGTGGATGTGAAGCATCATGCCGGCCAGGGTGACGAATATAGCACCTGACAGAACAGCTGTGTTCTGCAAGAGAGGGAGAAGACATTTAAAGTGTAGATCTTGTTCAGTGTAACATGTTAATGTGACTCGTTATATACCATCAACAACCATGCCACGTTCAAAGTCACTTAAATCACCTTCCTTCCCCATTCTGAAGATTAAGTTGAACTTGAGCAGCTCATTGTCACCATGTCTACCTGCTTAAATGCATTGAGTTACAGCCACATGATTAGCTGATGAGCTATTAGCATTAATGAGCAGTTGAACAGGTGTACCTAATAAAGTGGCCGGTGAGTGTATATCTGTAAATAAAGTCACACCCCAGCCACCCTCCTACTCTGATGAGTAGAGTACAGTCCCTAACTGATAGCAGTACAGGCTCAGTGACTCAGTCAGGAGTGACACCTGTGTGTGGACTCACCTGTGTGAAGAAGAACACAGCGTACGCCAGCAGCCACACACAGCAGGTGTACACCATCACCTTACCCATGGACACTTTGGGGACGCTCACAGTGAACTCCCTGCAGAGGCTGGAGTGACTCTGACAGTCCAGAGATATGGGTTTACCATTAATGTCCGTGAACGCCTCATCTTCCATCATGAACGCGACAAAAACACGAAGAGAAGAGTCAAAACGAGCCCTCTGAAACAGTTAGCTTAGCCGGCTAACACTGAGCACAGGTTAGCATAGAGCTAGCTGTGAACACACAAGGTCAGGCGCGTATAAAAACATAAAATGGTGCTTTCTCAGACGGGAGATGATGCATGACCACATACGATGCTAAGTCTCTGCTGTTAAATGTAATATAAGAAAAATAATTACGTCAAAAACACTGAGTTTTCACAGCACAAGTTCGACTGAGTTGATGCCAAATGAAACTCTCTCATTAGGTGCACTTGTTACTCACACCGGGTACTTCCGGTTAGATGTGTTGTTGGTTGTGTGTTAGAGAAAGCATGTGTATAAAGTGTATGAAATTAAAACAATAAAGTAAAATAAAATACCATGTAAAGTGATAAAATATAAAATAAAATTAAATGGAAATAAATAGGAATAAATAAATAAATAAGAAATAATTAATAATAAATTAAAAATAACAATAAATAAATAGAAATATATAATATAAAATATAAAATACCATGTAAAGTGATAAAATACAAAATAAAATAAAATTTAAATAAATATAAATGAATAAAAAATAAAATAATAATAATAAAAAACGAAAAATAACAACAAATAAATAGAAATAGATATATATAATATAAAATATAAAATACCATGTAAAGTGATAAAAAATAAAATAAAATTAAATGTAAATAAATATAAATAAATAAGAAATTAAATCATAATAATAAATTTAAAATAACAATAAATGAATAGAAATATATATATATAATATAAAATATAAAATACCATGTCAAGTGATAAAATATAAAATAAAATTAAATGTAAATAAATATAAATATATAAATAAGAAATAAAATCATCATAATAAATTATGTATATATAATATAAAATATAAAGTGATAAAATATTTATAAAGTGTATACAGTGTACAAAGCATGGAAAATATGTGATAAATAAATAACAAGCTTAGGGAAGTATCTTTCAATATATTACATCGAATTTACCTGGTAAAGCTGTGTATAAAGTGTTTCAATGAGATAAAGTGAAAAAATAAAATATGAAGTTGTAAAATAAAAAAATAAAATATAGATAAATCAATAAAAAAATGTTTTTATAAAAAGTATATCACATAAAATATAAAGAGATACCCTATCTATAAAGTGTATACAGTGTATAAAGCATGGAAAATATTTTATAAATACTGTATAAATAACAAGCTTAAGGAAGTATCTTTCAGTGTATTACATAGAATTTACCCAGTAAAGTGACAGATTAAAACAAAATAAACTATAAAGTGATTAAATATAAAATAAAATGTAAATTAATATGAATAAATAAGAAATAAAATAATAACAACAATAAATAAATAAATATGTAATAAAAAATATAAACTGATAAAATAATAAATAAAAATAAATAAATAAATAGTGTATAAAGCATGGAAAATATGTGATAAATACTGTATAAATAACAAGCTTAAGGAGGTTTCTCTCAAGAAATATCATAGATTTTACCCAGTAAAGCTCGTGTTATAAAGATCCAAGCTAAATACAGTTTAAAAGTATAATTTCTGTGGGCTGGAAAAACAAGTATTTTATTCAAGATTATTTATTTTCCACTGTATATACACAAGAACATTTTGGATTGATGTTGCAATTTCAATTAAATTCTATTTATAAAGCTCAATAGTTTACCTTAGAGGGTTTTACAGCATCCCTCTTATCTAGCAAAGTCCCTAACTGGTCAGTATTTAGCAGCAGAGATGATTCACAGTGATTCAGTTAGGAACAACTGGGCTCTCAGAGGGTTGTGTATGTGTTTGTATTTCTGTAAATTAATTTGTGCACTATAAATAAAGAGAGAAACCCTACTGTCAGTCGCTGTCTCCGCCTAATAACCGTGTAAACTCCGGTGTACGCCGGTTATAAATAAGAGTAGACACTACAGCAGCTGTGAGGTGCAAAGCATTATGGGTAACGGTTAGTAACTTGTCAATACATTCATTACATTTGTTCAAATATTTAGGCAACCGTCGTCAAACTACATGTAGAAACCATTCCAGGACTATTAGTTATTACATGTGCTGTAAAATAGTTTATAAAAAAGATTAAAACACTGATGTAATCGTCGTGTTTCTTCGCGACTCCCACGTCCTCCATTTCCCAGAGTGCATTGTGCTCGTGTGACTTTTGAACTCTGGATAAAAACAAGCCGATCAGCTGATGTAAAAGCAACAACATCTACAGGGGTCTGACACAGAATAGCTCAGCTAGCTAACTTTCTCCACAACGTTAGCCATATGTGGCAGCGGGCGCTATGCTCCTAGACCGTGTACGTGTCAGCTCGTAACTTAGACCGTGTCGCGGCGGCAGTGAGGACAGTCGTCGTCGGTCGGACCGGGTAGCTTCTGCTAGGTCAGTGGACTGAAGCCTGTTTTGTTCCCTCACAGGTGTATCTCTTTCTCTCTGTGTCACAGACAAAGTGTGTATCACTCAGTTTCAGCACGTATTTTCGGGACGTTATGGCGAGCACAGCATGTTGACAGCTGCTACGTGATCAAAACAAGACGAGAGAATGCGGGGCAGCTAATGCTAGCTAGCAAAGTGTTGTGCCAAAACAAAGTCATTATTATTCAGAACAAGTGTGGCTGACATTTCCACAAAGACTGGCTTTATAACAGGCTGAACACCCTCATTAACAGCAGGCATTAACAGTGTTACAGCTGATTATTTATAGCACTTTGGGACCGTGTTGCACATGAGTGCTTTTTTAGGATAATTTGAACAAACAAGGTTACATCACATCTGCTCATTGGGTTCTCATAGGAACCATAATATTGTCTTCCACTGCTGCTTGTGCAATCCCAGTCACTCTCCTCCTGTCAGGTGTGAGATGAGTGGTCAAGGACCAGCTGCAGATAAAGGCATGAACTCCACACTGGGCTGTCAGGAGAGCTACGCCTGCGGGGGTTCAGATGAGGCCGCCTTTGAGTGTGATGAATGTGGCAGCCTGCAGTGTGCCCGCTGCGAGCTGGAGCTGCACCGCCAGGAGCGGATGAGGAATCACGACCGGGTTCGGATTGCACCGGGCCACGTTCCTTTCTGCGACTCGTGCAAAGGTGACAGCAGCTGCTCCGTCAACGGCGGTCGGCTCAGGGCGGTGGTGCGCTGCCAGGGCTGTAAGATCAACCTGTGTTTGGACTGCCAGAAACGCACCCACAGCGGAGTCAACAAGAGGAAGCACCCTCTGACACCCTACCCCCCTGCCAGAGCTCCCCAGGACAACAGCGTGAGTGAGGGGGAGTCACAGATGGAGCTGCTGAAGGCAGAGCTGGAGAGGGTGTGCAGCTTCCTTTTGGTGGATGAGAGGGAGGAGATGCAGGTAAATACCCAGCAGCCACCTTTAATGATTCCCTAACACCTCATTGATATGATGTCATTATAACGGGGCTGGTCTTGTGCGGCTCCTCAGGTGAAGGATGAGGACGACTTTGTGAGCAGACTGGGCTGCATGCCAGACGAGCTCCTCAAAGTGGTCTCCATCTTTGGGAACACCGGCGAGGGCAAGTCTCACACCCTGAACCACACGTTCTTCCTCGGCCGAGAAGTGTTCAAGACCTCACCCACCCAGGAGTCCTGCACTGTGGGTGTCTGGGCAGCCATGGACCCTGTGCACCGTGTGGTGGTCATCGACACAGAAGGACTGCTGGGAGCTGGTATGGGACAAACAGTGGAGTCGTTTAAAGGGATAGTTCACTCCAAAATCAAATATACATTTTTTTCCTCTTACCTGTAGTGCTGTTTATCAGTCTAGATTGTTTTGGTGTGAGCTGCACAGTGTTGGAGATATCAGCTGTACAGATGTCAGCCTTCTCTCCAATATAATGGAACTAGATGTCACTCAGCTTGTGGAGCTCAAAGCGCCAAAAAATACATTTGAAAAACACAACATCAATGTCTCTTTCCAGAAATCATGACCTGGTTACTCAAGATGATCCACAGACCTTGTTGTGAGCAGTTTCATGTAGGAACTATTTTCTTTCTCCTGAACGACACCCACCAGCCATATCACCATGCAGAAGGAAGCGTGCATCTACTCATGGATGAGAGGCTCTTGCTTGTGACAGTGAGAGATGTAAACTTAAATGACGTCCTCGTCGACTGAGCTGTAACGTTAGCTAGCTCAGTGGCGCTAGGTGAGCTAGCAGTAGATGCACTCTTCCTTCTGTGCTGTGATTCTGTTGGCGGGTGTAGCTCGGTAGAGAGAAGATACTTCCTTCTAGAGATGGGAATTGATAAGATTTTATGGATACCAATGCCCTTATCAGTTCTGCTAATTAGTCTGATTCCTTATCGATTCCTGATCAATCATCATTTTTTGGACAAGTAGCACTGCTGTCATCGTTCTTTGTGACATGAAGCCTTTCTTCCTCACTGCCATGCTTCCTTCTTGTCGCGAGTATCCAGCAGCGTGGACGCATGAGTTTGACGTCAGAAAAACATGCTGGTTTCAATAAAACTAAATGATTAGCTTTGGTCTGTGGATTATCTTGAGCATATCTTGATTCCCAGAAAGACACATTGCTGTTGAGGTTTCAAATGTGTTTTTTTGGCGCTTTGAGCACCACAAGCTGAGTGCCATCTAGTTCCACTATATTGGAGAGAAGGCTGACGATACCTCCGACATTTGGCAATTCATGGAAAAACAATCTCGATTGATAAACACAAAATGTGTTTTTGATTTTGGGGTGAACTGTCCCTTTAATATGATGACATGAACGGGCTGCTGGGAGGCTGATTTTCTCATTAACATGCATTTAACACTTGTCTCTCATCAGGAGCTAATCAGGGCCAGCGGACCCGGCTGCTCCTCAAAGTCCTGGCTATCTGCGACGTGGTCATCTACCGAACCCATGCCGACCGTCTCCATGACGATCTCTTCAAGTTCCTGGGTGACGCGTCAGATGCCTACCTGAAACATTTCACCAAGGAGCTGAAGGCAACGACCACCCGCTGTGGTCTCGATGTCCCGTTGTCCACTCTGGGCCCTGCTGTGATCATCTTCCATGAGACCGTCCACACAAAGCTGCTAGGATCAGGTACATGATGCTTTTATTTTTGGGATGTTGGACTCCTCCACTCTTGTCTGTCTCTGACTCTGTTTACCATCTTTAGACAAACCGTCTGAATCGGCCGAGCGTCTTCTCCAGGAGCGTTTCAGGAAGCTTGGTCTGTTTCCAGAAGCGTTCAGCTCCATCCAGTACCGCGGAACTCGGACCTACAACCCTCCCACAGACTTCAGCGGTCTTCTGCGCAGCCTGGAGCAACAGCTGGACAACAACACCACCCGCTCGCCACGCTCTGCCAGCGTCATCTACAAGGCTCTGCAGGTAGTTGATTGTATAAAGAAGTGTGCGTCATATACTCATGCCTCTGGACGTTTTGTAATGTGACTTAGAGAGAACACTTCTTTGTGTATACACTATGAGTGTGTTAACATTAATATTTACATTGAGCGTTAATGACTCATCGTGTCCCTCCATCTCCTCCCTGCCCCTTCCTTCAGGCTCTGAGCGAACGCTTCAGTGGGGAGATTTCAGACGAGCACATGACCAGTAACTCGTTCTTTCCAGATGAGTACTTCACCTGCTCCAGCCTCTGTCTCAGCTGTGGGTACGTGTCTCTCTGCACACTGCGGCCTTAGTAGTTCATTAACCAGAAGGAGGAATTCAAATTAGTGATACTAAAAAAACAAATAACCTCCTGAGACCCTGCGTCCTCATATGAGCACATCACATTTTGGGTTTCTTGCACCTTACACTTCATTCTGCTTAACTTGGACCTGTTGACCTCGTTTGTGGACACTTTGATGCTCAGTCTGCAGCTGATCCCAACACAGAAGCAGACAAGGTGCAAAACCTGATAAAATTTTGTGTTTAAATTTAATTATTTGTGTTAAATAATATCTGTAGTTTGATATGGCAACTAATTCGACTGATTTTAGCGTTAGCAACAAGCTAAAATGCCGTTATAAAGGAAGTACTCCTTTGAAGACACTAGGACTTTTTGTTTTGCTTTGTTTTTGCACAACAATGTTCAGGTATTAAAATAACTGAAACATTTTTATGATTTATCGCTCACTTGTAAAACATTCTGGCCGTTCTCTCTGACATGATGTGCTCCGATTTCAGTTCAGGCTGTAAGAGAAGCATGAATCACCTGAAGGAAGGACTTGACCACGAAGCCAAACATCGCTGCCGCTACTCTGCACAGTATGACAACCGCATCTACACCTGCAAGGCAAGTACAAGCACAGAACGCCACATATTGGGTTTGAGTCAAAGACGAGGTTCTGAGTGTCTGTGCTGAACTTCTCAGGCCTGCTATGAAGGAGGGAAGGAGGTAATCGTGGTTCCCAAAACGACGGCCTCGTCTGACTCACCGTGGTTTGGCTTGGCCATCTATGCTTGGTCTGGGTGAGTCCAGCTACCACAGAACCATTGGGAAGATGAGTGGAAATGGCTTCCTTTTAAACACAGTGTGATGAGCCCAAGTGCTAATCTGGAGCTATTATAGCAGAAAGCGTAAAGACAAATGTATTGCAGCTATTCAATTCAGATCAAGACTGAAGGAACAACCTGTCCACTTGATACTGGAACTGTTTGTTGTCTTTGCACAGGTATGTAATCGAGTGCCCCAACTGTGCAGTGATCTACAGAAGCAGGCAGTACTGGTATGGAAACCAGGATCCAGTGGAAACAGTGGTCAGAACAGAGATCCAGCACATCTGGCCTGGGGTAAGGCCACAGTGGAACAGCCTAAATGAGATTCTGCCTAAACCAATTAAACAAAGTTGCCCAGCCAGGATTTCAAAGGCTTTAAGTTGAATGAATGTTGTCACGTCCACTGTGAACTGCATTTGTGGTTTATTCTCACCCGTCGGTCGTTAGTAGACGCCCAGGAATCAAATGTCAAACGTGGTTTATGACCTTTTTTCATGTTAACATGAGGATCTAAGCATACTTAGTCAAAAGAGCTGGCATACTTAATGCCAGGCATGAAACATGCTATATGCCAGCTAGTATATTCATTCCTATCTTCATTCTGTTCCTCTCCCCTTGCCTTCTTTTCAGTCTGACGGTTTCTTGAAAGACAACAACAACGCCGCCCAGAGGTTGCTGGACGGAGTCAAATACATTTCTCAGTCAGTGTCTGAACTCAGCGTCAAGCCTGCCAAAGCAGTCACCTCCTGGCTTACCGACCAGATCGCTCCTGCCTACTGGAAACCCAACTCTCTTATCCTGGTATGTAACGAAAACTAGATGAAAGTGAGTGCATGTTGGGTTGTACTAGAGTTGAACTTTTCTTCTCACACACTCCAAACCAAGGTCACCACTTAGAGAGCCGCTGCCAAGAACAGAAAAGGTTCAACAGAGTCCACACTGTTGTTAGTTTTCATAAAATTCAACTTGGTGCAAAGCTCAGAGCCTCAGCGCTTTTACTACAGTTATTTGGCACTTGTAGGTTTAATCTGCAGAGTTAGCTGGCAGCTTTATAATTTGTAGTATTTTAAAACAAAGGTTTGGTTTTGAAGAGTAGCCTTTGTTGCTTAGATGCAGCAGTGATGAGGGGGATAGGGACAGATGGGTAAAATAGAGATCATACATCCAGTGAGAAACAGGCCTTCATGCTTTACCACGAAAGGCCAACTGACAGTGTTTGCACATAGTGTAGATACCACTGTTTATTACACACCTGTTAAAGGAATACATGCCCCCCCCCCAAAGGGTCATTTGTGTATCAGTAACTCACCCAATGTTAGCTTGAATTCATGAAGAAAAACTATTTTTCCTCACATGCCTTCACAGGGAACAAAGAACCCAAAAATGGAGAAAATTCTTGATGAGTTGAAGTCATAGGGGTCCAAGTATAACAACAGCAAAACTATGTAAATCATAAGTTTACAAACTCTCACATAACTTGTCTCATTTATCCAGTTGTATGCCCAGTACTTCCCAAACAGACGGCCCTTTGCGATGGGGAACTGAATGGAAAGTGAACCTTGATCCATGCTCTCTTCACAGCCAGACTCCATTGACAAAAACAGTGATTTTACCTCACTGAACACGGAGCTGCTGGTCTACTGCTGCCTCAGATAGTTAGTTAGTTTGTGTGACTGTGACTTCGCTGAATCCGAACTAAACCTTTAAAACACCAAAGTCACACAATAACTAACTGATGGAGGCAGCAGTAGACCAGCAGCTCCTGTGTTCAGTGTGGTAAAATTACTGTTTTTGTCAGTGGAGTCTGGCTGTGAAGAGAGGATTGTATAGTTTCACATTCCATTCAGTTCTCTGTCACAAAGGACTGTTTGGGAAGTACTGAGCATACGACTGGATAAATGAGACTTGGATTATACTGCTTGAGTTGTGTGAGAGTTTGTTAATGGATGTTTTGGTATAGTTTTGCTGTTGTTAAATGTGGTCTAGCATTACTTCAATTTCTCTGTTTTTGGATTTTTCGTTCACTGTGGTGGCATGCCAGAACAGCAAAGTTTTCTTCACTAGTTCAATGTAACGCAGGGTGAGGAATTGATATGCAAATTGTCATTTGGAAGTCAAAGTATTCCTATATATCCTACGAGGTTCCTCCATATCTTACACTCTATGGAATTATATCTACTGTGTGACAGCTGGTAGTAGACCAAGGTGTCGTCCTCACTGTGTGTGTTGCAGAATTGCCATAAATGTGGGGAGGAGTTCCAGCCCAACGACACCAAGCACCACTGTCGTGCCTGTGGAGAGGGCTTCTGTGACTCCTGCTCCTCAAAAACCCGACCTGTCCCGGAGAGGGGCTGGGGCCTCGCGCCTGTCCGAGTCTGCGACGCATGTTTCCACAACAGAGGAATCCCAACTGGTAAATTTCTACTTAATTTTCGATGTGATGTCAGTTTTGGTTCTCTGAATGTGAGTCTTACCAGTGACAATGATTTCATACGTGCGTGTACTCTCATACAGAGTTACTGGATGCTGCCTTGGAGGAGGAAGGAGGCACCCTGATAGCCAGGAAGGTTGGGGAGGCGGTCCAGAACACTTTAGGAGCTGTAGTCGGCGCCATCGACATACCTCTCGGTGAGCATTACTATCTCTCTATCCAGCTGTTGTTTAGCAGTAAGAACAGTCGTATCAGTAACTGCTGCTTCCTCTCCTCCACGTCCAGGCCTGGTGAAGGACGCCGCTCGTCCAGCCTACTGGGTCCCAGACCAGGACATCCACTCCTGCAACGAGTGCCAGAGGGAGTTCTCCCCACGTCTCTCCATCCACCACTGCCGCGCCTGCGGCCAGGGAGTGTGTGACGACTGCTCTCAGGAGCGACGTGCCGTCCCCTCCCGCGGCTGGGACCACCCGGTGAGGGTCTGCAGCGGCTGCAACCAGAAAGCTGGGGAGCTCTAGCAGGACGAGGAGATGGAGACGGTGAAGGATACTGGCCTCTACAAAAACTGGAATTGACAACATTTTTTGACATTTGGCTAAAAGGCTTCAGTTCCCTTTTTGTCTCTTACGTGGCATTTAATGGCTGCCACTAGACTGTCCGTGGCAGGTTGAACTCTGTTTTTTTTAATGCCGTTCTCACGTCACATCAGTCCCCTGATGCTATTTCACTATAATATGCCTCTATTTTACACTGTGAAGAATACAGTCAGAGTGAGACTTGAAAATCAGGAAGGTGGAGAGATAAAAACTTTTATGAGAGTGAGTATTGTACGTGCTTGCTCACAGTTGAGTTCAGGTAAATATCAATGTACCCCCGTGATCCTTTAAATTTCTATATCGATGCACATGAACCCCTTCGACAATCCCTCCCAGTGTGACACACCTGTACTATTAGCACCTTTTCTAGTCTGGGGCTACATGTGATTTAATGATAGTACTGACTGAGCATCTTAAACTGACTCCAGGTAAGCACTCTTATTGTAAGATTGTTTCTGCAGGAGCCCTGGATGTAGAGTTCAGGGCCGGCTTCAAACGCAACGACGAAAAATCTGAAAAAGGATCCACCACAATTAATTTGGTGGATGATGTGCAGTTATTTTCCTCTGCTTCAGCCCCGCAAAGCTTTAGCTTCTCTGCCACTCTTTGGCTTCAGGAGGATTAGAACAATCAGAAGCCAATGATGTACTGTAGCACTGAGATGCATTCCAATTTATATAATTACGTCTTACATAATCCCTCCATACTCTGTGGTTGTTTGTGCATTCGAATGGGCAGACGATAATAGAAGAGCCTTAAAGGGGAACTGCAGTGTTTTTCAGCCTAAACCCTGTTTTCCCATGTTTTGTGTCAAAGTGACTCATGGGAACAACGATTTTTTTAAATTGCTCCAGTACTGAGAGAGAGGGCTGCAGCTGGAGCAGCACAGGCGGCTACGATTTAACCACTTTTAGGAGGTGCGCCCCGTCAATTTACATCCATTAAAAGTGCTTGTTTTTGCCACTGACAGGCTCAGCTTGTTATTAACAGTAGCTGTGTTTCCATCCAAAAGTGATTTGAATCATTGGGAAATGTGCATTAAAAGGAATACAAATCCTGTGTGTTTCCATTAAATGTACGGACTTTGGCAAAAACTACGAACTCGCGCGAGTTTTCCACAGAACCGGAAACAAAACAAGTCTCGCATTCTTCTTCTTCTACGTTTTCTGGCGGTTGGCAACCAGCTTGTAAATGGCATGTGCAGGTATACAGTTTAGTCCCCTGTTATTTTTGCTGCATGTGTTTTTCCACAGCAGGGCAGGTAACAGAAGTTTACCTGTTGGAGGTGAGCTGTTTGCAGACGTGCAGTAAGAGCCTGTTGTCTGCAGCTCTTCATCAACATCTCTCTGCCTTTACTCTTCCTCCCTGGCCTTTATTGAAGAAAATCTGCTAACAAAGTTCCGCTAATTCGGTGATAAACACATTTTATTTCCTGTAGATTCTTCACAATAAAAGTCCCCCATCATTTTGTTATGTGAAAACTTTTATTGTGAAGCAGCAAAATAAGGAAATGTAAAGTTTTCGAGCAGCGAGATTCGAGCTGATTTTGACAATGTGACAAAGCCCACAAGATTTCAGAACTTTTTCTTTAGGGAGACTTGAACACACAACAGATCGGATCAAGTGAAAGCTATGAAAAAACATTTCATTTCTCAGTCGGGTCCTTTCTGTAAGGTTTTCAGACACTCAAAATAACAATTTGAGCCTGTCAGTGACAAAAACAAACTCTTGGAATAGATGTAAATTGACGTGCACACCTGCCCTCAGAGGTCACACTGCAGCTGGACCGATTTCAAGAACTGTCTCTATTCGTCACTTAGACACGAAAACAATGGAAAATAAGGTCCAGGTTGAGAAATACCTGTTCTCCTTTAATAATGCTGTTTGCATTGACTTTAAATTTTACATAGAATATATACATATATGGGGAAAAGTTTACTTTAATAGGGAAATTTTTAAATGGCCTCGCTTTGTTTTTAAAATGGTAGAACTACTATGTGCTAACAAGACAAATGTGACTGCAGTGGGATGACATGCAGCAGCTCTCACAGAAGCAATATGGTACAGTTAAAGACTTGAAACCATCTTTGAGGCTGGCCCCTCAAAACAGGACATACTTAGAGGAGTAATCCATTACTCTGTCAACTCAGGCTGTGTAGCTAGTTAGTTAGGAGCACCACGTGAGAAAGAGACTGTACTGTACAATTATCTGACAAATATAACACGTGATGATGCAGTCAGGCTTCGACTGAAGGCTGTGAGGTCTGACTGCAGTGATGGTTAACCTGGGATTATTTTCAGTGACTGACTGGGAACGTTGGTTCGGTTACAATTTCAATAAGCTGAAATAACACGTTGAACTATCTGGTCACCGTCCCGCTCTCGGAGAGACGTGTTCAATAAATATCACATGGAACAAATCAATACCTTAATGTTCATGTACGCTCATACAGTATGTATTAAACTGCAGAAACTCACGTCGGTGTGTGTGTGTGTCATTCAGGAGCAAAAACAACGCAACACATCACCATGTTTACTGATTTTTTATTTTTTTTTTAGAATATAATTGTCAATCACCAACGATAAGAAAGTGTTGAATAACAGTATAAATGCAAGATTTCCAAATTACTATCAGTCTGTATTAAAAATCAAAGGTCAATCACGTCATAAGAGCACTTATTTGAAAAGATTAAAGAAATCTTAAAAAGGAGCAGTTCACCCCAAAATGATCATTTGTATATCAGCTATTCGCCATGTCACCTTGAATTCATGAGAGAAACTTTGCTTTTCTTGCGTGCCTCCATGGTGAACAAAGAATCCAAAAAGGCGAACATTCTTCATGGGTTGGGGACCACGTTAAAGTACAGCAAAACTCAGGGCTGGGCGATATGTCCTGGAAATTATTTAACAATATTTTTAGGCTATATCTCTATTTTTAAATCTCCTCAAAAGCACTTCATCAATGCTCGGACTGGGAGACAAAATCCAACATTATATTTCTGACTAAATACACTCTGTGATGCACAAAAGTTGTACGGATGACTATTGTTTTGTTTTGTTGTGTTCAAAACATAATGACATATTTTATCAATACTCAATAATAATTAAGGCAGGTGTTAGAACAAATAAAAGATCTGGTAAGTTTAGTCACTTTACTGTAATGCAGCCTTTAAAATGAGGGAAAAACACCATTTATGCCACATCACGACACAATATCCAGAATCTAAGACGATATATAGTCTCATATCTCGATAACGACATAATATCTTCATATTGCCCAGCCCGAGCAAAACTACATCAAAACATGTTTACAAACACTCGCACGTCTCATGCAGTAAAATCCAAGTCTTATTTATCCAGTTGGTGCTCAGCCCTTCAAACACATGCATTTTATGCTAAACATTGTGATTTAAAACACGTCAGTAAAGCCATAGACTGTAGATGAAGATGGACGAGGTGAAGACAAAGCACCTCCATCGCCCCCTGGTGGCTGGCTGCAGATGGGACACCCTAACCCAGGAGGAGGAAGTGGAAATGCGTTGTCCATCTTTTTTTTTTTACTGTCATTGGTACAAACAGTCGTATGCAGGGCTGTGGAGCTCATACATGCATGCTCAGGCACACTCAAGGTCTTGCTACTTGTACTTGTAGGACTGAAGTGCAAAGACGTGTTTGGGAAGAACTGAGCAAACTGTTGAAATAAATGGGACTTGGATTCAACCACTTGGATTCCTGTGAGAGTTTGCAAATGGATGCTTTGATCTAGTTATGCTGTTGTTCGCCTTTTTCAGATTCTCCGTTCACGATGGAGGTTTACGAGAAAGACTTCTTCCCAAGTTCAGTAATTCATAAACAAATGGTCATTTTTATAGTGAACTATCCCTTTAACTGTAGTAATTGTGTGCACTCGTCTATGTAGCACTTCTATTTCCTCTTGGCACAAACAACTGGGTCGAAAATAACATTCCCCTGAGACTTAAATGCAACTCCTCTGAGGTCATCTTCCCAATCAAAAGTTCAGTTCAGCCTTGTGGAAATGAAACGTACACTGGCCGAACGCTTTCAGCTATAAAATACCTACAGATCTTGTATATGAATATAACTCCATCCAAACATTTGGCAAAAAGAAATGTAGTTTTTCAAGAAATGATTTGTGAGATGAAGCTTTCTCAGTCTTTTCCTTAATAAGTGCTGGCCGGCTGCTCTCCTCCGTCCTGGTAGTCAGTGTTGTACGGGAAGTAGTAAAGGTCGTGCTTGACGGCCATGAGGAGGCCGGGGAGTCCCCTGCAGCCGCCCAGCTTGGAGGAGAAGACCACGCTCGGGATCAAGTCGTTTGCAGCCGGGTGGGGTGACGGGATGGTCCTCAGTAGGTGGCCATCTTTCAGGCTCCATAACCTTGTGTAGCAATCCTGACCGACTGGGGAAGAAGAGAAGAGAAGAGGAGGAAATGCAAAGTGAGAGTTTTGTTTTTGCAATCACGGTTGGAAAGCACACTGAGAGACATGAGACATCTTTGACTGAAATACCTCATCTGGCCGCAGTGTATTTTTTTTAACTGAAGCTGAAGAAAAAGACACTTTGAAATCTGATTTGAGCATCCACAGAGTCCACACTGAGACACATCTGTCAGTGTGACTGGAATCCCATTTCAAACCACCTCCAAATACAGTTCAGATCATATTTGCTGAAAACATATTTCATGTGTTTTTTCTTTTGTGGTCCAGATGTCCTAAAATCAATCTGGATACAGTTTGGATATGAAAATAATTTGGACTGACAGTCTAAACAAGGCCTAAGTGTATCAGAGCACGGTAGATATGACCTTGGTGTCTGTTTGATTCAGTGTGTAGCAGTCCCTCATTGTTTAGTGCAGTACAGTTTGGGTGGATGTCACAGCTCCCTGGAGTTGATTGGAGGGTAATTCAGGTCACCTGTTGTGTGTGTGTGTGTGTGTGTGTGTGTGTGTGTGTGTGTGTGTGTGTGTGTGTACTGACTCCTAATTAATGGACAGCAGCTTGGTGAATTTCCCCTTTGGACCAATCAGGGTGGACGACGCCCTTCCTAAGAGAGCTGAGGAAACATTCTCACTCTTCCTCAATTGAATGCAGACTTGATGTTAGCAAACACTGTCAGTCAGAGGGCCTGTCCCATTATGTGCGCTTCATCACACTTGTGCACTTGGACACTTGACGTGCGAGTCCATGAGCTTAGTGTAAGAGCACAAGTGTATCCCATTTCTACGACGAACACAAGTGCAGTGCGCTTGATTTGTACTTTACCCACATTTACGGTAAGACTGCACCTGAGCGGTATTTGGCCAAGTATAAATCCCACAATGCATCACCAGCTGGTGGAGTTTCAGCAATAAGCTAAAGAAGGAGAAGCTGGTGAAGTCTGCCCACTATAGTTCAGTGAGTCTGCCATCATCAGGATTTTGACTGAGATGCCGCAGAAGAAATTTCAATGTAAGAAAAATATTTTATAAATTTAACTTTATATCACAGTCCCATTCATATCATAGCGTCACGATGGTACATGTTAGGAAGCTTTGTTAATGTGTCTGTGGTGAGGAAATTCACATCAAGCTTTGCCCTGGATTTATTTACTAACCACAGAATTTATCTGAAATAGGGACCACGGAACAAACGCTCAAATTCATTAAGTTAAGAACGGAAAACAATTACCTGTTTAACAGGGCTAAAAATACTGCAGCTGATGGATACAGGTGAGTGGTTTGCGCCGTCATTTCTTTTGATTGATGTCTTTATTTCCAACATGACAAATATTACAAAACAGTAGTTAATTTATTTAACATTACCCCTTTTATTCACTAATTAATAACCTGTAACTTTCCTTTAGATACCCAACGTAGTGTTAAATATGCCAGCATATTAACTGACTTCGTTAAATGCATGTCATGGAAATATCATGAACTGTTCATGTACCAACATGAAAATATAATCATATATCCATATACATACATCAGCTCAACATAAATCACAGCTGCAGATCCCTGCTGATTATCCACACCTTTTTTCATCCCTACATG